TCCTCACCTCCTTGCATTGCATGTTATCAGGAGTACTGAAATTGCCATTTCAGTTCCTCTCAAACACACTACTTAATAAGAATGTTCCTCATTGCTTGATTTTTCACTGTAGTTCTTGTTGTATATTTTTTTTGCTTTCCCCAGATTTTGCTGACTTTGCCAAAAACCTCCTTATTCTTGCAACACTTGCCAGTGCAAGATTTTGCCTATAAGTGACTGACAATTCCAGGCCTGCCGTTTGCCAGTCACGTGCTTGAGAAGCTGCCCTCACTGCCCCTTCCTTCAGGCTTCAGTTTGTGTTTAAGCAAGCTACAAAGATTTCCTAACCCCTAAATCTGTACACTGCTCCTGTTGCCAGATCACACACAGGAGTGCTTGGCTCTGCCTTCATTGTCTGCAACAGTGTGTGGAAGGTTAACTCTTGGGAAGACTGGCTAAGAAGACACCTACGAAAAACCCTTCTCCATGTCTCTCTTGACTTAACCTCTTGATCCGAGATTTCCCTGCAGCTGCTGTGGAGTCTTGCACAAGCAGTGAGAAAAGAAGAAAATTCGCTTCTGTGTAGCTCCACATGGCCAGATATTCCTGTTGTCCTCCTCTCCTCCAGTAGTCTTAAGTCATCAAGTAGCAGCCTTAGCACCATCCTTGTCAAACTGGGCATTGATACTTGTGCCAGTCTACCCTCCAACTTCATGTCAACGGGCCAACTTGAGCATTTGCTTGCTCTCTGCATCTATTTCTGGAGCCTCTTAGAAAGGTCAGCACTGAAGTGTCCAGCCAGTAGACCTGTACCCCCTGTTCTGCGCTCAGTCATGCTGAATATCTCCTCATGTAAAGCTGTACGGTGTAGAGACTTTTCTTCTGACTCCTTGTCAGATTCTGACAAACACATCAGCAAGATCAGCATGCAGCAGCATTACCATGCTGTCCCTGGTGTTCCCTTCTCCTGTCACTCTCCTACAAAGGAGACCTATTATCTTGGCATGCTTCCACTTATCTTCTTCCTGTTACCTGGAGTTGTACTGCATCTTGGACCTTCAGGGTTCTGTAATTAAAGATTACAGCTCAAAATCGGGAGTTTTCTCACAGCTTTCTCAGGTTTTCTCATTTGTAGATGTGCATTTTTTTCAGCTCTTGGTCTATGAAGCTGGTACACTGTCAATGGATTGCCTAAACAAGATAATATCACAGCATTTCTACTCATGGTTTTGGCAGCTGCTGCCTTCTTGAGGCAGTGACCCTGAATGCACAGGAAGGCAGCTGTTGTATTTCTCATCATTCTGAGATGCCATACACAGATGTATAACTTACACACCACAGAAAACCACGTGCCCTGAACTCTTGTATTACTGGAGTGACCTGCTCAAGCAAGGTCATGCACCTGTCAAAACTTATACAGAATGCTGAGCTACCTAAAAAAGAAATAAAAATGCCATAACAGATACACTTTGTAGATCCTGCAATTATGAGGGAAACCCAGATCCCTTGCAAGACTGCTGAGACAGAAGATCATCCAGAGCAATCAAGGAGTAAGCTCGTAAAGCCATAGCTTTACAAATTGCAGGTTGCTGCTCATGTAAAGAGAGATATGTTAATACAGGGAGAAACTCATTTGTCTTGAAGACTAGATAAATGAAATCCAGGAATCCAACGTGCAAAGTCATTGACTTGAGGACTAACAAAAGCTTTTGCTTTAAGCTGTGAATCAGTAAGAATAGCCTGGGTGTACTAGTTTATCATTAGTTACCAATATAAAGCGGCTACAAAGGAAATGCAAGTAAAAATCACAGCATGACTGAGAAGAGGTATTTTCATAGAGAAGTGTGGAAGCATTAAGGCTACTTTTCAAGGTATCTGTTAGACCATCTGGAAGACAGTGCACGATTCTGGTCAGTTCTGTTCATGAAAGATGAACACTGCACTATGGGTAGAGAATGGCTGACAGGACGGTGAGATTGGATTGTACTCCAAAAAAAGAGAGGGGACTACACACACAACACAAGATATTCAACACAGTAAGAAAGTGAAAACATGTGCTTTGTTTTCTGCAAGAGGTAGAGCAAAACATATGCTGTACACACGTATGAGGATAGTCCTGATAAAATACCACTTTTAAGTGCAAGTACTAATAAAACAGTACCTCCACATTAAAACACTCAGCTCTTATCTCATAGTAGGCTAATCAGTTGGAAGTAAAGCTAGAGGTGATTTACTCTGAAGTTATGTGGCTATTTATGTAAAATTTTCACTTCTCTCAACACATCAGCAAATTAAATAAAGGATTTTCAAGTAAAAACATCCTCACAAAAATATGATATTTATATATCATTAGGACAGTGAAGCAAGACCAGAACAGGTTCAGTTGTTCTAAAAACTCAGAGCTGGTAAAAACTAGCGTCATGCCTACGCACACTCACACAAGAGCAAAAAAACCTTCTTAGATGACACTTATCATCTAAGCATCTTTTTAAAAATGTGTCTGAACCCTCCCTGCCACTTCAGATTACACAGTTTTTTATTAGCATGATGCTTTTGATACTACCTTGACTTTCTACTGTCTTATTTTCAGATGTTTCAGTCTAGCAGCCCTCTTTGCAGTCAGCACTGGCATAGGCTTAGCTCTGCAGCAATCAAGTGTTTTATTAATTCCATTTCTTTATTTTTTAAATAAAGGCAGTACGGCAAAAAAATAAATGAGACTGGTGGAGGGAAATAACGTCAGGCTATGAGAGCATAGTTCATCCGGTCCTGTTACAGAACAAAGCAACCCGTCAGGCACCTTTTACTTTTCAGGTTCTCATTTTGGAGACCTTTAGAAGTGCACGTCACCTCCTTGGCCTCAATTATCACCTATTGCCAAGGCTAGAGAAGAGAGTAAACACAGGCATTTTGATAAGAGTAAATAGAACTATTCTGCATTTCCCATCTTGCTCTCAACACTGTTTACCTATGACACCTGTCATCATCAGAAAACATACCTCGCATCTTCTTTTAAAAGGTCACTGTACTTTGGTCCAGAAGAACGGATATTAAAAGGATCAGAATTATCATCTATTTCGAGAGCCTCAGCAAGACGCCTAAATTTGAGGGTAGGAGGGAAAAAACCAAAATGTAACAAAACCACAACTAAACAAAAATAAACATACAAATTCCCTATCCTCCAAAACACGTTGTCATTGAACAGTAAAGATACGGGTTACTAGTACAGATGAACAGCCCACAAAGGATACAGTCTGTACGTTTGAAATTATTAATTTAGGATTTTTCACTAGAATATTCAAGTAAGATCTCAGATCGCTCCGTACAGATCCCTGTAACACAGGAAGCATCTCCACGTTTATCAGTTCTCTAGGTCATGCAGGAAAGGATTTCTTCCCACATAGCATTAACTTCCTGAACCTGGACTTCCGAAAGAAAGCAAGCAAGTTCATGGCCCACCTGTTCCTCTGAAGAGCTAAGCATTCTTCATCACATTGCAACCTGAATTACGAAAGAAAAATACAATTAGAATCACTGCTGCTACTCATACTTCCCAAACTGTGCCGGTGTCCAATCAGTATCACAGCCTAAAGAAGAGTGTGTGAGAATAGTTTATTGTAAGCTAAAACCAACCAACCAACCAACCTTTGAGCACACAACCCCTTCTCCAGGTCTTGGAACAGAAGCACCCATTAGCAAAGCCATACAGAAGCTGAGAAAAACCGCTTCTGAATTAGATTTTATTATACTGGTAAATTAGGTAATTTGAGGAAAAAATGCAGTTGATGTCAGCATTAAGAAGGTGGATGGGAAATTAGCAGAGGAAAATGCAACAAGGTCACTTACTCCTATGCATCAGAAAAAGGTATCAGTATTTCAACTGAGCCCATAACTTTTAGAGTCAGTAGAGTTACAAGTTTCAGTTTTCTGTCTCATCTTTTATAATTTTAGGCTAAGGGATTAAAATGGCAGATAAGAATCAAGAGTTCTCTAGAATTTCACAGTCGCAGTTACAAATATCTGTCCCTTAGACCACATAAGAGAATTGATTCTGTTGATAACAGTTTCTTAATTTCAAACAAATAATTTTCATAGGGGAAACTGGTTCATTCAGTGGCACGTATTATGTTTGGAGACACACAGCTATACAATCCACAACTTCTGGTGGTTTTCTCGAAGGAGGCAGAAGAAAGCTAGCAACACTTGCACTCTAAGATCAACCCGGTACTGTTTAAAGTCATTTGCTCAAAGAGCCATTTTCTCCTCCTCTTAAAAGAGGAGCATAGCCAATTTAGAGAAGCTACTCTAGGACTGATGAAATTTGTCACCAAAACCACCCCAAAGCCTAATAAGGGTTTCTTATTATTGTAAATGAATGAAGCAGATTTGGAAGATAGCTCTGAAGATATTAGAGTTTGACAATAAACTAGAAGCTTAAGAATAAAGATTTTATGTGCCACCATCTCTTTTTACCCCACCCCGGTCCTTGGTAGATTAAAAGAGTGGGGAAGGGAGAATACTTCCTCTGACTGTCCTTGAATAAAGGCTACCTGCCACAGTTCAGATATCATATTAGGAAAGATTTGCACGAAGAAAAGTAATCTCTGGTGTTTCCAACTATCCAAGGAAAGGGCAGTGTAAATCTGCCCACACAGCAAGATGTGCAGAAGCAACTACAACACAATTTGTATTACACACTGCAAAGGCTGGGGCACCAACAGAGACACTGGTGTCTTACTTGCTCTCCTGGCAAGTGTACAGATATGACAGACTTGCAGCTTCAGTAGCTGAAAAAGTAATCCCCCCTGTTTCTAACCCTCTTTTTGGAGAAGCTGCAATTGGCTTCATATTGTTAAGTATCTTTCTATCTGGTTAGCATTGCGATACAAATAGGAGCCAAGTAGTTGAGGCTCCATCTGGGTAAAGCCGAGACTATTCTACAGTAATTCCAGAAACAAAAAATAATGCTTATATTGTACATTTTTGAGTATTCAATTAATGGAAACAAATGGGGTAGGCTAAGAAAGACTCAATTACTGTTTCCTATTTGTGTCTTTCTTATACCATGCTTATACCGTACTAACACCACACTCTAATTTAAAGTTGCATGTAGGAATCAGTATGGCTCTCCCTCTTTCACCTGGATTTTTCCCCACACTTTCTTCTGAAGTATGACACTGGCCCAGCAAGAATGAAGCTGAAGAACGGATTAAGCAGATGCTCCCATGCGTCATTTCTGGTGTTAGTTCATCTTTCCCATACATTCAGAATTAAAATTATTTCCGTGTAGGAAATTATCTAGAAGGGCTCTGTAATGATGTGCTCCGATTTCATAGATATTAAACAAATAAACAGAACAGACTGCCTAGCAAAAGTTCTTCAAGCATGCTGGTATGATACAGGAAGGCAGGAAGCAACTGTATGGGAAATTTCACTATTTTGACTTTACATCAACATAAAGGTGTATTAGATTTTAACACACATAGCAGACTAACTCCAAAATAATCAAATTCACAATTACAAGAGGAGAGATGGTAGCAGAAAATAAACTAAAACCAGAAATTAGGGACTTCAAGGGCAAAGACTTCAGGAAGTCAAGTTTCAGACAGAAGGATGTTGGAGAAACTTTACAATTCCTTAAAGGAACGATCCTAAAAGTTAAAAGACAAGCTATTCCAATCCCAAGGAACATCGGGAGGAACAGAAAAAAAAAAATCACCAAACTTAACTCATAACTGGTTTTGCGACTTAGAAGCAGATTTGCAGTGGCAGCTAGCATGAGAACACAGAAGCACCAATCAAACTTGAGATACAATTGTAAGACATCTAAAAAGGGTAATAGAAAAATATGATGACTAGTAAGATGATGACTAGGGGAAAAATATGCCCTACTTATCACCCAGGAAGGAATGCTGGATGCTGAAGCAGAAGCTAATAAAAAAAAGTTATACTGTCTAGAAATCTGAAACAGTCCAGAGGAACACCAAGGAGCCTGCTGGTAGAAAGAAACTCTGAAACCACTATTATGTTGTTCCGTACATAATTACAACAACAAACCAGCCAATGACAGAGACCTCATTCTACATGAAAGCAAAACCACAAACCACTAAGGAATTGCAAAATACTCTCATAGCAGCATTGTTACAGAAGAGTCAGCCTACTGTTTTAATTTTACTGTTTTAGCTGAGATTTTGCTCACAATATTATGCATTTTCCATGTCACCTATGTTTCAGATACACACAAGGGTTTCAAATATGTTTCTACATGTATCTCCTTACCTGGCCTGCTTCATTTCTTTTTTCGTAATAAGCCTACTAATTTCCACTGAATCCCCAAGCTGTAGATCTGTTAACTTAGTGGCCATAGATATAGCAGCTATTCTGAAAAAGAAGAGCATTAAATTTTATTTGAGGCAACACATAAACCTTTGAAAAGGTGTATAAAGCTGCAGATTTAAACCCCCAGGTGGAAGAAGACAGACAGACTGACTTGTTTCCTCATCAGATTACAGAATGGGACTCTAGTTCAACGTCACCCAGTTTTAGGAGTCTAATCTAGCTATATAAATTAAGGGCTCTCTCTCT